ATGCTCCCATATTCTCCTTGAAATTTTCAAGATGAGCATCAAGGATAGAGACCTTAAGGGACATCCTACAGCTTATCAGACCATAACTTTTTACCAAGGTCTCAACAAGTTCCACATATGCGGTGAATGGTTTTGAAAACCGACAAGTTGAAGAATTGAGACACATGTGCAACAATTGGGAATCATTATTGAAGAAACGTTTCGCCACACAGTGGCTTCATCAGTCCAATACAAAGGAGAAATGGGTAAGGAGAGGAGGAGTTCGAGGTTGAGGGACTGATTACCTCGAACTCCTCCTCTCCTTACCCATTTCTACTTTGTATTGGACTGATGAAGCCACTGTGTGGCGAAACGTTTCTTCAATAAAGATTCCCATGTGTTGCACAAGTGTCTCAATTCTCCAAGCTCCACATAATTGTCAGCCTTGTTGGTGCTCAGAAAGCCCTGTGCTACAACAACAAAACTCTCCCAGGCTTCCTTTTCCTTCTCTGTTAGCTTCTTTGGTAATTCTGAACACTCCATGATTTTCCTGACTTGTGGTCCAGTGAAGATGCCAGCCTTCACCCTTGTCTCTGGTAGCCTGGGAAAGAAGTCTTTAACATACATGAGGACTGCTGACTTTTTGTTAAGAGCTGTAACAAACTTTCATTAACCCTAGTTTGATGTGTAATGGAGGGAACGGAATCTTTTGAGGATCTACCAATGGTTTATGTTTGACATTATGTCTTCCTACTGAGAACTCAGTCCTTTGAGGCCAGTGTTTCCTCTGGTAATGTGCTGCTCTGTGTCTACTGGCCCAATGACAGAGATAACAGGGAAACTTGGTAAAACCTCCTTGAAGTCCCATCAAAAATGCCACCATTTTGAAGTCTCCAATAACGTCCCAGTCATACTTACCATAGTTCAGAGCTTCCAGTAGAAGTTTGACACTGTTGTAGTCCTCCTTAAGATACACTGAATGAGCCAAAGGAATAGATGGATATTTGTTCCTATTGTGCAGAAGTATAGCTTTTAGGCTTCTGGAGGAGTTGTCAGTGAAGAATCTCCACTCACCTGGATTGCATGCAATGTCAGTTGCATCAAACAGACCTGATACATCATTACAGTATCACAACCTGTCTTCATTAGTAAAGAAGCTTGAGAAATGTTGGTGACGTTTTATTTGGCTTGTCACTTGCACACTTTCATCTACCAAGTCCCACTTCTTGAGCCTTGAAATCAAAAGCTCTGCATTTAACTTTGTCAGACCAAGATTTCTGATAAGGTCATTGAGGTCTGTTTGATTTGTGTAGTAAGGATTCCTCCCAACAGCTGCATCTGTTAGATAATAGTCTTGTTCACTGTGCTCTTCTTTCTGATTTGCTGCTTTCTTCTTCTGACGGTTGACTTCTTTCTGGAGGTGTAGGTACAGGAAGACCATCACTGTATGGTACTGGTGCAATACAAGAGGGAAGGTCTGGATAAGAAATAGCAGGTGCATTTTTCCCAGTTCGGTGTTTGGAAGGATCCAGCACCAGCCAGAAGTAGCAGTTGGTTGAGTGATCAGTGGGTTCACACCATATTCTAGCAACACCAAACTTTATGGATATTTTTCTCCGCTATATAATCTTGTAAAAGAACAAAATAATTAGTTTCTGTTACAATCATTTACAAAATGTTCCTGTTCAAGATTTTACCCTTCATATAACTAATGACTTCCTTACCTTCCAATATTTTCTTACAATGTTCACCAGTAACATGAGGCGCCCAGGTCTTGACTTGGTCACCAACTGACATGACAAAAATATGCTTTGTAACCTACACACATTTTTGTAGATGCTGTTACAGAGAACTTCTTTGCTCTTGTCTTTATAAACTGACCACATATGTAGCAGAATGTATCTGGAGAATGATCACGGCCTCGTGATGCCATTTCACTTCTTCTGATGTGTCTTCTCAGGCAGCCAGAGCTGAACTGAATGTTGATTTGTGATCCTATGTTTTTATATTTGTCAAGCAAAACCTTAGAACATAATAGTTTTAGTCTTTCTTGAAGTGTTCCAGAAATGTCCTGACCACAGAAGTTCTGGGATCAAAATTGTTTTTTTTAAATTTTCTTTGATTATAAAGAACTGGGAAATGATGTTTATTTCCCAGGAATACAACAAAAGTGAAATTTTGTTACAGAATGTAACAAAAGACTCAAACTTTATTTAATTATCATTTTATTACCACTACTAATAATATTTACATTTAACAAAACATTTGATATAATTTATATATTTTCCAGTCAAGAAAACCTTAAAATAAAAATTTTGCTTTAAACAATAATTTATTTACTATATATACAACCTATTTATATAATGAATTAAGATGGGTCAATAAAGCTACATCACAGAGTTTACTGAATCTTCATAATGATCGGCAAAATTTATAACTAAAATTCTTTCTTCATTTATATTAATTTAAGAACTCCAACGTTATATTAAACTTATTATCTATCAACACATACATATATTACAGTAATATAAAATATTTACAATATAATCAGTATTAATTCCAGTTGTTTTGACAATATCAAGTTAAAAAAAAAAACAGGAGAACTAGTGGCACTAGGCAAGTTATTAATAAATGAGAGATATAAACACTTGTAACTTTGTCACAAATTATTTTAGTGCTTAACATGTTAGTAACAATTGGGTATTTCTCTTGTTGAGACGTTTCTCCTACAGAGTAGGTTTCTTCAGTCGTAAGAGGTGCAAGAAGTGGTTAGTTGTACAGTAGTTGAGGGGGTCAGCGACTGCCACTCGAACTTTTTCCCCTTCTTGATTTTTCTTTTTCATTTCATCCCCCCTGCCCTTTTTTGATTTGTTTGGAAAAAGGTTACCCTGTAGCGGAAAATTTCAAGGGGAAAAGGTATCCAGTTGAGAACGGTGTCTTAACATAAATCGGGGGTATTTTATGCTTTTTTTTAAAAACAAAAAAAACTTTTCTCTGCGTTTTTAAAAAAAAGCAGCTATCGTACAGAAGAATTACCATCATTTTCTTATAAAATCAAAAATCCCCTTAAAAGTGTATCTGTAGACCTTAGGAAAAATCGTCGCCTTGTTATTTGTTTTTTAGAAAATTTTCTCAAATTAATGTAACAATTTTAAAATTATGTACCCCTTTTCCCCATGTTTTTGTTAAGAAATTTAAAACTAGTACCCTTTCTGCCTCAGTTTTGCTAAAAGCTAAACTATGTACCCTTTCAGCCTTTTTTTAATGTATCTTTAAACCTCGTAGGTACTTCCTTTCTCATATTACTGCTAACCACTTGACAATCTAGGAAACTTTCTTTCTTATGTTACTGCTAACTTATTCCCTCAATAGGTACTTTCATTTATACAGTTGTGAGTACCTCATAACTCACTAGATACCATCCTCTCTCAGGTTGCTGCTAACTTCTAGGTGTCTTTTATTTTCTCACGGCTGCTAACATTCACATACCAGGTACCTAACCTTCATCACATAAGTGATACAATATTCACATACCAGGTACCTAACCTTCATCACATAAGTGATACAATATTCACATACCAGGTACCTAACCTTCATCACATAAGTGATACAATATTCACATACCAGGTACCTAACCTTCATCACATAAGTGATACAATATTCACATACCAGGTACCTAACGTTCATCACATAAGTGATACATTATTCACATATCTTGTACCTAATTATCTCAGGTTAGTGCTAAAATGTCCACATTACAGGTGTTTGCTCATCTAATGTTGGTACTAAAACAATCAGACATCAGGTACCTTCCCAGCCTCACGTTAGTGCTGAAATATTCCCATAACATGTACCTACCCATCTATTTACAGTGTTAAAATATTATTCACTAGGTTCCTTCAATACTTACTCTCCTGAATTGTTCTCTTAATTTAGTGTCACAATATTCTTACATTTGGTAACTTCTAAACTTAAGAAATAATGATAATACATGTATATAAAGACAAAAGTTAATTATTCTTAAAAAAATATTTTTATAGCACTTAGAATAAACTAATTTAAGTTAACTCGGAAAAATGGCCAGAAAATCCACTTAGTTATAGATAAAATACAATATGTAACTGTCTTCATGGTTATATGTAAAGTGCACTATATAAGTACGGTAATGATTATAGGTACAGTGTGATACTTAGCAGTTGTCAATTATTATAGGCAACGTTTTGTGTATACTATTAAATAATATGTATATTGCAATATCTAAATCTTAACTGTTTATCGAATTTATATGATTTAATATAAATATTATTGTAATCCATCCAATTATGATACGTTAGATGTCGTGAAGAAATATACTGAATACAGTCTCTGAAATTTAACATTGTGACTGACGAGATATAATTCGTTGATAAGTAATCTAGCCGCAATTTGTTCCACATTGATACAAATATTTGTCTAACATTATTTTAGTAAAATTACGATACTTCAAAGGGGAATCATACAGTTAAATGTATGAGATTTGGACTCATTACTGCTTTGTAAGTCATTAGTAGCCTCACGTTTATTGTGGTAAGTCATTAGTAGCCTCACGTTTATTGTGGTAAGTCATTAGTAGCCTTACGTTTATTGTGTTAAGTCATTAGTAGCCTCACATTTATTGTGGTAAGTCATTAGTAGCCTCAGTCTTATTGTGGCAAGTCATTAGTAGCCTCACGTTAATTGTGGTAAGTCATTAGTAGCCTCACGTTTATTGAGGTAAGTCATTAGTAGCCTCATGTTTATTGTGGTAAGTCATTAGTAGCCTAACGTTTATTGTGGTAAGTCATTAGTAGCCTCACGTTTATTGTGGTAAGTCATCAGTAGCCTCACGTTTAGTGTGATAAGTTATTAGTAGCCTCACGTTCATTGTGGTAAGTCATTAGTAGCTTCACGTTTAATGTGGTAAGCCATTAGTAGCCTCAAGTTTATTGTGTTAAGTCATAAGTAGCCTCACGTTTAGTGTGGTAAGTCATTAGCATTCTCACGTTTATTGTGTTAAGTCATTAGTAGCCTCACGTTTATTGTGGTAAGTCATTAGTAGCCTCACGTTTACTGTGGTAAGTCATTAGTAGCCTCACGTTTACTGTGGTAAGTCATTAGTAGCCTCACGTTTACTGTGGTAAGTCATTTTTTGTCTCACGTTTATTGTGGTAATTCATCAGTAGCCTCACGTTTATTGTAGCAAGTCATTTGTAGCCTCAGGTTTACTGTGGTAAGTCATTTGTAGCCTCACGTTTATTGTGGTAAGTCATTAGTAGCCTCACGTTTATTGTGGTAAGTCATTAGTAGCCTCATGTTAATTGTGGTAAGTCATTAGTAGTCTTACCGTTTATTGTGGTAAGTCATTAGTAGCCTCACGTTTATTGTGGTAAGTCATTAGTAGCCTCACGTTTATTGTGGTAAGTCATCAGTAGCCTCACGTTAATTGTGGCCAGTCATTAGTAGCCTCACGTTTATTGTGGTAAGTCATCAGTAGCCTCACGTTAATTGTGGTAAGTCATTAGTAGCCTCACGTTAATTGTGGTAAGTCATTAGTAGCCTCACGTTTTTTGTGGTAAGTCATCAGTAGCCTCACGTTTATTGTGGTAAGTCATTAGTAGCCTCAGGTTAATTGTGGTAAGTCATTAGTAGCCTCACGTTTATTGTGGTAAGTCATTAGTAGCCTCACGTTTATTGTGGTAAATCATTAGTAGTATAATGCTTATTGTGGTAAGTCATTAGTAGCCTCACGTTTATTGTGGTAAGTCATTGGTTGCCTCACGTTTATTGTGGTAAGTCATTAGTAGTCTAACGCTTATTGTGGTAAGTCATTAGTAGCCTCAATTTTATTGTGGCAAGTCATTAGTAGCCTCACGTTTATTGTGGTAATCATTAGAAGCCTCACGTTTATTGTGGTAAGTCATTAGTAGCCTCAAGTTTATTGTGGTAAGTCATCAGTAGCTTCAAGTTTGCTGGCAAGTCATCAGTAGCCTCACGTTTGTTGTGGAAAGTCATTAATAGCCTCACGTTTATTGTGGTAAGTCATTAGTAGCCTCACGTTTATTGTGATAAGTCATTAGTAGCCTCACGTTTATTGTGGTAAGTCATTAGTAGCCTCAATTTTATTGTGGCAAGTCATTAGTAGCCTCACGTTAATTGTGGCAAGTCATTAGTAGCCTCACGTTTATTGTGGTAAGTCATTAGTAGCCTCACGTTAATTGTGGTAAGTCATTAGTAGCCTCACATTTATTGTGGTAAGTCACTAGTAGCCTCACGTTTATTGTGGTAAGTCATTAGTTGAATCACGTTTATTGTGGTATTTGGAGGATGATTGTTTATTATTCTCAATTGTGCATTTGCCAGCGGGCGTTGTTTGTCCTGGCTCCACCGTTCAACTCTCTTGCACGAGAAACCCCGTTTCTTCTTGGATCATATTCCAGTGACGCATTGCTTGTTCTACGAGAAGCTAGAGGATTTCTCCTTGCATTTTGCCATCGTGAAGCATTGTTTCCATTATAGCGTGCATACTGATTTCTCGTAGCACCTTGCACTGCTGGCACATTGCCATTTCTTTCGACCATACGTGTCTCGTCAGCATAAGGTGGCTGTGGTTCATTTCTATGTGTAGAGTACATACTGGGTCTTGAACCATACTCTGATGGAGTATTACTTATGCTTGAAAATCTCGTCGATGGTTCAGGTGGTCGATTGATTGGTCTTGTGCGGCTCATATCAGACCTGAAAATAATAATGAAGTTCCATAATAGTGAAAAAATGTGTAATAATATTTTTTATTTTAAAAATTCTTATGGCATTTAATAATAATACTACTACTATTAATAATAGTAATAGTCTTCTTCAGATAGACAACAGAGAGTTTGCATAAATAGGAAGAAAACAGTGACTCGTCAAAAAGCGAAGTTCCATTGGGATCATTGTTGGTCCCACCGTTGTTCAAAATGCACATACAGGACATAGATGAGGGAATAAATAGCGAAATAAGCAAGTATGCCGATGACACTAAAATAAGCTGTAGGATTAATTCTGACTAAAACACAGGAAGATCTGCATAGACAGATAGAGTGGTCGGAGAAGTGACAGATGCAGTTTTATACAGACAAATGCAAAGTTCTAAGCCTTGGAAAAGCAAGTAACAATGAAACCATACCACGGGCAGGATTTGAACCCGCGGTCAGCGAGTTTCAAAACTCCAGACCGTCGCGTTAGCCACTGGACAGCTAGCCACAGTCCAGTGGCTAACGCGACGGTCTGGAGTTTTGAGACTCTCTGACCGCGGGTTCAAATCCAGCCCATGGTATGGTTTGTTTGCAATCGTGTCATTACGATTTCGCGAGTCATGTAACAATGGTTCTTATAAACAAAAAAATGAAGACCTTAATCACTCTGAAGGCGAGAAAGATTTAAGAGTTCCGGGTAATAATAATCTGAAGTTAAGACAACAGTGTTCAAAATAAAGCCAAAAGAATTCTTGGCTTCATATCAAGAAGTGTAAATAATAGGAGTCCACAGGTTGGTTGGTTGATTGGTTGCTGTCTACCAAACAACACTAGAGGAGTACTTACCTGGGTGGTTCCTCTCTACCAAACAACAGGAGACGAGTACTTTCCTGGGTGGTTGCTCTCTACCAAACAACAGGAGAGGAGTACTTACCTGGGTGGTTGCAGTCTACCAAACAAAAGGATAGGAACACTTCCTTGGATGTTTGCTCTCTACCAAACAACAGGAGAGGAGTACTTCCCTGGGTGGTTGCTCTCTACCAAACAACACTAGAGGAGTACTTACCTGGGTGGTTCCTCTCTATCAAACAACAGGACAGGAGTACTTCCCTGGGTGGTTGCTCTCTATCAAACAACAGAAGAGTACTTACCTGGGTGGTTGCTCTCTGCAAAACAACAGGAGAGGAGTGCTTCCCAGGGTGGTTGCTCTCTACCAAACAACAGGAAAGGAGTACTTACCTGGGTGGTTGCTCTCTACCAAACAACATGAGAGGAGTACTTACCTTGGTGGTTGCTCTCTACCAAACAACAGGAGAGGAGTACTTACCTGGGTGGATGCAGTCTACCAAACAACAGGATAGGAGCACTTTCTTGGGTGTTTGCTCTCTACCAAACAACAGGAGAGGAGTACCTACCTGGGTTGTTCCTCTCTACCAAACAACAGTATAGGAATACTTCCCTGCGTGGCTGTTCTCAACCAAACAATAAGAGAGGAGTACTTCCCTGAGTGGTTGATGTCTAAAAAAACAACAGAAGAGTACTTCCCTAGGTGGTTCCTCTCTACCAAACAACAGGAGAGGAGTAGTTCCTTGGGAGGTTGCTCACTACCAAACAACAGGAGAGAAGTACTTACCTGGGTGGTTCCTCTCTACCAAAGAACAGGAGAGAAGTACTTCCCTTGGTGGTTCCTCTCTACCAAACAACAGTAGAGGAATACTTCCCTGGGTGATTGGTGTCTACCAAACAACAGGAGAGGAGCACTTCCCTGGGTGGTTGCTCTCTACCATCAACAGGAGAGGAGCACTTGCCACAGTGCCAACAATATTATACTGCTAGTCAGGCTAAGACACAACTCAGTGCCATCAATAACAAAACAGTATTCAATTATAATGTCAGATCACTAAGCAAGCACTATGATGACCTCCAGGCACTAATGAATTCACTAAATGTCAGTGTCTATGATTACTGGCACTGAAACTGAGCTAAAACATGAAGTACAAACATCTATTCCACACCTGGCCACACAGTCATATACAATTGTAGACCAGAACAATTAGGAGGTGGAACAGCTATATACTACTCTGATGAACTAGACTGTATAAATTCTACTTGCACAAGGGATGAACATGGTAAATATTCCTTAGCTAAATTTAAATCCAAAGACTTTGCAAAACCTCTAACAGTAGGAGCAATTGATAGAGTTCCTCACTCCAATATTTACTCTTTTAGTGAAAAACTAAGAAATATAATAACTATCGCTGAAATGAACAAGCACCACCTGATACTTACATGGGACTTCAACATAAATCTCATCCATGACCATGACCCACAAGTGACTAAACTCACAAACACTATGAACAGCTGCTTACTTCTACCAACAATAACAAAACCTATAAGAATCACAAATTCCTCATTACTAGATCATATCTGGACAAACACAGTATCCCCATTAAAAGCAGACATAATCACTGATAACACCACTGACCACTATCCCATCTTTCTCATAAGCAACTTGTGTAAGGTGCCCCAGGACACAACTTGTGTAAGGTGCCCCAGGACACAACTTGTGTAAGGTGCCCCAGGACACAACTTGTGTAAGATGCCCCAGGACACAACTTGTGTAAGGTGCCCAGGACACAACTTGTGTAAGGTGCCCCAGGACACAACTTGTGTAAGGTGCCCCAGGACACAACTTGTGTAAGGTACCCAGGACACAACTTGTGTAAGGTGCCCGAGGACACAACTTGTGTAAGGTGCCCCAGGACACAACTTGTGTAAGATGCCCCAGGACACAACTTGTGTAAGGTGCCCCAGGACACAACTTGTGTAAGGTGCCCCAGGACACAACTTGTGTAAGATGCCCCAGGACACAACTTGTGTAAGGTGCCCCAGGACACAACTTGTGTAAGGTGCCCCAGGACACAACTTGTGTAAGGTACCCCAGGACACAACTTGTGTAAGGGGCCCCCGGACACAACTTGTGTAAGGTGCCCCAGGACACAACTTGTGTAAGGTGCCCCAGGACACAACTTGTGTAAGGTACCCCAGCACACAATTTGTGTAAGGTGCCCCAGGACACAACTTGTGTAAGGTGCCCCAGGACACAACTTGTGTAAGGTGCCCCAGGACACAACTTGTGCAAGATGCCCCAGGACACAACTTGTGTAAGGTGCCTCAGGACACAACTTATGTAAGGTGCCCCAGGACACAACTTGTGTAAGGTACCCCAGGACACAACTTGTATAAGGTGCCCCAGGACACAACTTATGTAAGGTGCCTCAGGACACAACTTGTGTAAGGTGCCCCAGGACACAACTTGTGTAAGGTGCCCCAGGACACAACTTGTGTAAGGTGCCCCAGGACACAACTTGTGTAAGATGCCCCAGGACACAACTTGTGTAAGGTGCCCCAGGTCACAACTTGTGTAAGGTGCCCCAGGACACAACTTGTGTAAGGTGCCCCAGGACACAACTTGTGTAAGGTGCCCCAGGACACAACTTATGTAAGGTGCCCCAGGACACAACTTATGTAAGGTGCCCCAGGACACAACTTGTGTAAGGTGCCCCAGGACACAACTTGTGTAAGGTGCCCCAGGACACAACTTGTGTAAGGTGCTCCAGGACACAACTTGTGTAAGGTGCCCCAGGACACAACTTGTGTAAGGTACCCCAGGACACAACTTGTGTAAGGTGCCCCAGGACACAACTTGTGTAAGGTGCCTCAGGACACAACTTGTGTAAGGTGCCCCAGGACACAACTTGTGTAAGGTGCCCCAGGACACAACTTGTGTAAGGTGCCCCAGGACACAACTTGTGTAAGGTGCCACAGGACACAACTTGTGTAAGGCGCCCCAGGACACAACTTGTGTAAGGTGCCCCAGGACACAACTTGTGTAAGGTGCCCCAGGACACAACTTGTGTAAGGTGCCACAGGACACAACTTTTTGTAAGGTGCCCCAGGACACAACTTGTTTAAGGTGCCCCAGGACACAACTTGTGTAAGATGCCCAAGGACACAACTTGTGTAAGGTGCCCCAGGACACAACTTGTGTAAGGTGCCCCAGGACACAACTTGTGTAAGGTACCCCAGGACACAACTTGTGTAAGGTGCCCCAGGACACAACTTGTGTAAGGTGCCCCAGGACACAACTTGTGTAAGGTGCCCCAGGACACAACTTGTGTAAGGTGCCCCAGGACACAACTAACATCACATTCCCACTACATAACGAGTCATCTGTTAATAATTTAACTTCAGCAATAAGTGACACTGGCAATACTAGCTAGCAGACAACTTCGATATTGATGTGTTAATATTTTTTTTATACACAAAAAAACCTAAACCTCTATAACATGCATTGCCCAATAAAAACTAAGCAGATCACAGCAGAGACTAAACAGCCCCTGATTTATAAACAGCATCCTCAAATCTTTTGATAAAAACATCTATTTGAAAAACAGTGCAGAGTGGGTCTAATAACAAAGGACCTCACAAAACGTTACTCGTCAATACTAACCAATCTAATAAGGTCAAAAAAACTGTATTATGAAAACAGATTTCATGACATAAAATGTGTTATCAAAAAGACCTGGAAAACCTTATCTAAAATTCTAGGAACAAAAAGCTATCACAAAATAGATTGATTAACTTAACTAAACCAGATGAGTCTCTCCTCCAGCCAACTGTTACTGTCAACAAACTTAATGTTTTTTCTCTACCGTAGGAACAAAACTAGCAAGTAAAATCCAAAGCTTAAACATTCAACCAAATCACTACCTCACTGGCAACTACCATAATACTCTATTTTTAGCCCCAACGAACCCTACTGAAATCTCACTTATTATCAAAACACTAAAGAACAAGACAGGGGACCTAAATAACTTACCATCACTCATGTATAATAAGCTTCTCATGTATTGTCACCAATTACTGCAACTCTTTTTAACAAATCCATTGAATCTTCCACCTTCCCATCCATACTCAGGACAGCAAGAGTCACCCCGATCCTCAAAGGAGGTGATCCAACTGAATTGAACAATTATAGATCTAGCTCAAACCTGCCCCTACTACCTAAAATCTTCAAAAAATTAATACACAAACAAGTCTACACCTACTTTGTATCCTACAACATACTCAACCCTTGTCAGTTTGGGTTCACACCAAAGAAAAGTGCTAATGATGCCATTATACATACGCTTGAACTAATATATTCTGCACTTGAGAAAAATGAATTTCCCTGGGACTCTTCAAAGATTTACGAAAAGCTTCTGATACAGTTGACCATGACCTTTTGCACCAAAAACTTGAACATTACTGTGTCAGAGGACACTCTCTCAATTACCTAAAATCTTATCTTAACAACAGAACTCAGTATGTGTACACAAATGGAGCCAGTTCCACTATACAACCTGTTCTTGTTGGAGTCCCACAGGGAACCTTTTTTGGCCCACTTCTCTTTCCATTTTCATCAATGACCTACCAAACGCATCTAATCTCCTTAAACCCATTTTATTTACAGATGACACAACTTATGTCTTTTCTCACCCAAACTCAACCATACTAACAGACACTGTAAATGCTAAACTGCTAAAAATATCTACTTGGACGATTACCAACAAACTTACTCTCAACATTGACAAAAACCTACTATTTTATACCATGTTTTTCGGAAAAAGAGCTTCAAATGTACAGCTAAACATATTGAAAAATGGTTCACCTATCTCGAGACAGGCAGAGGGCAAATTTCTAGGTCTCCACCTTGGCTGCAGTCTCGAATTTCAGAGACACATACAGAAAATTTTTAATAAACTCTCCAAAACAGTAGGTATCCTTTCAAAGATACGGTATTATGTACCTCAATCAGCTCTTCTAGCTCTGTACCAGTCTCTCATTTACCCTTACCTCACCTATGGGGGCTCAACCACAGCAAATCACCTTAAGCCTTTAATAACTCAGCAAAAAGTGTCAGTAGGATTGATCACTAACTCCTGCATTAGACAACACACTCCACCACTTTTCAAGAGTTTTAACTTACTAAATATACAAAACATCCACACTTAATATTGTGCCAACTACATACACATAATACTATACTCTAATGTAAACCCTCCTCTCAAACTCATCCTTGATACCTATAACAGAACACACAACCATAACACGAGACACAGATCACTCTTCGATATCCCCCGTGTTCATCTCTCCCTAAACAAAAATGCTATACACGTAAAAGACCCGAAGATCTGGAATTCATTGCCAAAATAAGAAATCACCTCATCACCCAAAATTAACCAGACAAAAGATACCTAACCACTACCAGTTTCTCAAAAGCTACTCATATTGTGCTGATGAATGCTCAACTACTTACTACTTACTACTGTTTTAAATAGTAGTAGACTGTAATACAGTACATCATAATGTAAACTGTTCCATTGCAATACCAAATTTCAGTGTTTTAAATAGTAGTAAATTGTAAAACATCACACTGTAAATTGTTTTAAATTGTTACATTGTAATACTGTAATCTTTATTAACTAATTCAATAGTGTAAAAAGTCTCTACTAGACTTATCAAAACCACTTAGCTTCACCTGATATAATATTAAATTCTCCTGTACTCACTCTAACTCATCTAATGACCATATGAGCTATGTATTATTGCCTTACTAATCTTAAGTGAATCTTTAAGTTTGCCAGAAATGCTCAGTATATAGAGAGACTTTTGACATGTACACCCAACTATTATATTCCTCTGTACAACCATGTAATTTGTCAAAATAAAAAATCTAATCTAAGGAATACACTCTAATATTGACTATACCTGTTGTTAGGTAAGACACATATGCAACAGTTAGGTATCTTTATTTCGAAACGTTTCGCCTACACAGTAGGCTTCTTCAGTCGAGTACAGAAAAGTTGATAGAAGCAGAGGATACTTGAAGAAGATGTAATCAGTCCATCAACCTTGAAGTTCTGAGGTGGTTAGTCCCTCAGTCGGTATTTTATACCATTTTAATGTTTACTCGAACTATACCTGTATTACCGGAAAATCACAATGACTATTGCGGTATCACTAAACCTTTCTTGTTCAAGCAGTGACCCCCAACATAGACTAAAGCTTCATCAGCAATTAAAAGCAATATTAAGCGTACAGACAAAACACTTACATTCGTATTGGTGGGTTATCATCTCCTTTTTTTTTCATCCTCTTGTAGAAACACACACCGCCAATCACAATTATTACTAAACCTGCGAAAGCACCAACAACTACACCAATAATTAATCCAGTTTTGTGTTTGGGTGGTTGGTCAGGTTCCGTGGAAATATCAAGAGATGCTGGTGTTCCAATACCTGCCCCATTCCGAGCCTGTACAGATTAAAATAACAGTTAAATAAGCGATAATATGGAGTGTTAAAACTTTGCTCCACAAGAGATGGCGAAGGTCAGGGTTTCCCTTGTGAATACCTCGCAAGGTAAGAAGAGTCAAGTGTCCCACAGGGATAGGGAAAGATCAAGTGCTTCACAAGGATAGGGGAGGGTCAAGTGCTTCACAAGGGTAGGGGAGGGTCAAGTGCTTCACAAGGGTAGGGGAGGGTCAAGTGCTTCACAAGGGTAGGGGAGGGTCAAGTGCTTCACAAGGGTAGGGGAGGGTCAAGTGCTTCACAAGGGTAGGGTAGGGTCAAGTGCTTCACAATGGAAGGGGTGGGTCAAGTGCTTCACAAGGGTAGGGGAGGGTCAAGTGCTTCCAAGGGTAGAGGGGGGGTCAAGTGCTTCACAAGGGTAGGGGAGGGTCAAGTGCATCACAAGGGTAGGGGACGGTCAAGTGCTTCACAAGGGTATGGGAGGGTCAAGTGATTCACAAGAGTAGGGGAGGGTCAAGTGCTTCACAAGGGTAGAGGAGGGTCAAGTGCTTCACAAGGGAAGGGGTGGGTCAAGTGTTTCACAAGGGTAGGGGAGGGTCAAGTGCTTCACAAGGGTAGGGGAGGGTCAAGTGCTTCACAAGGCTAGGGGAGGGTCAAGTGCTTCACAAGGGTAGGGGAGGGTAAAGTGCTTCACAAGGGAAGGGGTGGTCAAGTGCTTCACAAGGGAAGTGGTGGTCAAGTGCTTCACAAGGGAAGGGGTGGTCAAGTGCTTCACAAGGGAAGGGGAGGGTCAAGTGCTTCACAAGGGAAGGGGTGGTCAAGTGCTTCACAAGGGAAGGGGTGGTCAAGTGCTTCACAAGGTTAGGGGAGGGTCAAGTGCTTCACAAAGGGGAAGGGGTGGTCAAGTGCTTCACAAGGGAAGGGGTGGTAAAGTAATTCACAAGGGAAGGGGTGGTCAAGTGCTTCACAAGGGAAGGGGTGGTCAAGTACTTCACAAGGGAAGGGGTGGTCAAGTGCTTCACAAGGGTAGGGGAGGGTCAAGTGCTTCACAAGGGGAAAGGGGTGGTCAAGTGCTTCACAAGGGAAGGGGTGGTCAAGTACTACACAAGGAAGGGGTGGTCAAGTACTTCACAAGGGAAGGGGTGGTCAAGTGCTTCACAAGGGAAGGGGTGGTCAAGTGCTTCACAAGGGAAGGGGTGGTCAAGTGCTTCACAAGGGAAGGGGTGGTCAAGTACTTCACAAGGGAAGGGGTGGTCAAGTGCTTCACAAGGGTAGGGGAGGGTCAAGTGCTTCACAAGGGAAGGGGTGGTCAAGTGCTTCACAAGGGAAGGGGTGGTCAAGTACTTCACAAGGGAAGGGGTGGTCAAGTGCTTCACAAGGGAAGGGGTGGTCAAGTGCTTCACAAGGGAAGGGGTGGTCAAGTGCTTCACAAGGGAAGGGTTGGTCAAATGCTTCACAAGGGAAGGGGAGGGTCAAGAGCTTCACAAGGGAAGGGGAGGTCAAGTGCTTCACAAGGGAAGGGGTGGTCAAGTGCTTCACAAGGGAAGGGGTGGTCAAGTGCTTCACAAGGGAAGGGGTGGCCAAGTGCTCCACAAGGGAAGGGGTGGCCAAGTGCATCACAAGGGAATGGGTGGTCAAGTGCTCCACAAGCGTAGGGGTGGCCAAGTGCTTCACAAGGGAAGGGGTGGTCAAGTGCTTCACAAGGGAAGGGGTGGACAAGTCCTTCTCAAGGGAAGGGGTGGTCAAGTGCTTCACAAGGGAAGGGGTGGGGAAGTGCTTCACAAGGGAAGGGGAAGTCAAGTGCTTCACAAGGGAAGGGGTGGTCAAGTGCTTCACAAGGGAAGGGGTGGTCAACTGCTTCACAAGGGAAGGGGTGGTCAAGTGCTCCACAAGGGAAGGGGTGGTCAAGTGCTTCACAAGGGAAGTGGTGGTCAAGTGCTTCACAAGGGAAGGGGTGGTAAACTGCTTCACAAGGAAAGGGGTGGTCAAGTGCTTCACAAGGGAAGGGGTGGTCAACTGCTTCACAAGGGAAGGGGTGGTCAAGTGTTTCACAAGGGAAGGGGTGGTCAAGTGCTTCACAAGGGAAGGGGTGGTCAAGTGCTTCACAAGGGAAGGGGTGGCCAAGTGCTTCACAAGGGAAGGGGTGGTCAAGTGCTTCACAAGGGAAGGGGTGGACAAGTGCTTCACAAGGGAAGTGGTGGTCACGTGCTTCACAAGGGAAGGGGTGGGCAAGTGCTTCACAAGGGAAGGGGTAGTCAAGTGCTTCACAAGGGAGGGGGTGGTCAAGTGCTTCACAAGGGAAGGGGTGGTCAAGTGCTTCACAAGGGAAGGGGTCATCAAGTGCTCCACAAGGGAAGGGGTGGTCAAGTGCTTCACAAGGGAAGGGGTGGTCAAGTGCTTCACAAGGGAAGGGGTGGTCAAGTGCTTCACAAGGGAAGGGGTAGTCAAGTGCTTCACAAGGGAAGGGGTGGTCAAGTGCTTCACAAGGGAAGGGGTGGTCAAGTGCTTCACATGGGAAGGAGTGGTCAAGTGCTCCACAAGGGAAGGGGTGGTCAAGTGCTTCACAAGGGTAGGGGAGGGTCAAGTGCTTCACATGGGAAGGGTTGGTCAAGCACTTCACAAGCGTAGGGGAGGGTCAAGTGCTTCAAAAGGGAAGAGGTGGACAAGTGCTTCACAAGGGAAGGGGTGGTCAAGTGCTTCACAAGGGAAGGGGTGGTCAAGTGCTTCACAAGAGAAGGGGTGGTCAAGTGCTACACAAGGGAAGGGGTGGTCAAGTGCTTCACAAGGGAAGGGGAGGTCAAGTGCTTCACATGGGAAGGAGTGGTCAAGTGCTCCACAAGGGAAGGGGTGGTCAAGTGCTTCACAAGGGAAAGGGTAGTCAGGTGCTTCACAAGGGAAGGGGTGGTCAAGTGCTTCACAAGGGTAGGAGAGGGTCAAGTGCTTCACAAGGGAAGGGTTGGTCAAGTGCTTCACAAGGGTAGGGGAGGGTCAAGTGCTTCACAAGGGAAGGGGTGGTCAAGTGTTTCACAAGGGAAGGGGTGGTCAAGTGCTTCACAAGGGAAGGGGTGGTCAAGTGCTTCACAAGGGAAGGGGTGGTCAAGTGCTTCACAAGGGAAGGGGTGGCCAAGTGCTCCACAAGGGAAGGGGTGGCCAAGTGCTTCACAAGGGAAGGGGTGGTCAAGTGCTCCACATGGGAAGGGGTGGCCAAGTGCTTCACAAGGGTAGAGGAGGGTCAAGTGCTTCACAAGGGAAGGGGTGGGTCAAGTGTTTCACAAGGGTAGGGGAGGGTCAAGTGCTTCACAAGGGTAGGGGAGGGTCAAGTGCTTCACAAGGCTAGGGGAGGGTCAAGTGCTTCACAAGGGTAGGGGAGGGTAAAGTGCTTCACAAGGGAAGGGGTGGTCAAGTGCTTCACAAGGGAAGTGGTGGTCAAGTGCTTCACAAGGGAAGGGGTGGTCAAGTGCTTCACAAGGGAAGGGGAGAGTCAAGTGCTTCACAAGGGAAGGGGTGGTCAAGTGCTTCACAAGGGAAGGGGTGGTCAAGTGCTTCACAAGGGTAGGGGAGGGTCAAGTGCTTCACAAGGGAAGGGGTGGTCAAGTGCTTCACAAGGGAAGGGGTGGTCAAGTACTTCACAAGGGAAGGGGTGGTCAAGTGCTTCACAAGGGAAGGGGTGGTCAAGTACTTCACAAGGGAAGGGGTGGTCAAGTGCTTCACAAGGGTAGGGAGGGTAAAGTGCTTCACAAGGGAAGGGGTGGTCAAGTGCTTCACAAGGGAAGGGGTGGTCAAGTACTTCACAAGGGAATCGGTGGTCAAGTGCTTCACAAGGGAAGGGGTGGTCAAGTACTTCACAAGGGAAGGGGTGGTCCAAGTGCTCACAAAGGGAAGGGGTGGTCAAGTGCTTCACAAAGGAAGGGGTGGTCAAGTGCTTCACAAGGGAAGGGTTGGTCAAGTGCTTCAGAAGGGAAGGGGAGGGTCAAGAGCTTCACAGGGGAAGGGGAGGTCAAGTGCTTCACAAGGGAAGGGGTGGTCAAGTGTTTCACAAGGGAAGGGGTGGTCAAGTGCTTCACAAGGGAAGGGGTGGTCAAGTGCTTCACAAGGGAAGGGGTGGCCAAGTGCTCCACAAGGGAAGGGGTGGCCAAGTGCATCACATGGGAATGGGTGGTCAAGTGCTCCACAAGCGAAGGGGTGGCCAAGTGCTTCACAAGGGAAGGGGTGGTCAAGTGCTTCACAAGCGAAGGGGTGGACAAGTGCTTCACAAGGGAAGGGGTGGTCAAGTGCTTCACAAGGGAAGGGTTGGTCAAGTGCTTCACAAGGGAAGGGGTGTCCAAGTGCTTCACAAAGGAAGGGGTGGTCAAGTGTTTCACAAGGGAAGGGGTGGTCAAGTGCTTCACAAGGGAAGAGGTGGCCATGTGCTTCACAAGGGAAGGGGTGGTCAAGTGTTTCACAAGGGAAGGGGTGGCCAAGTGCTTCACAAGGGAAGGGGTGGTCAAGTGCTTCACAAGGGAAGGGGTGGTCAAGTGCTCCACAAGGGAAGGGGTGGCCAAGTGCTTCACAAGGGAAGGGGTGGTCAAGTGCTTCACAAGGAAAGGGGTGGTCAAGTGCTTCACAAGGGAAGGGGTGGTCAAGTGCTTCACAAGGGAAGGGGTAGTCAAGTGCTTCACAAGGGAAGGGGTGGTCAAGTGCTTCACAAGTGAAGGGGTGGTCAAGTGCTTCACAAGGGAAGGGGTGGTCAAGTACTCCACAAGGGAAGGGGTGGTCAAGTGCTTCACAAGGGAAGGGGTGGTCAAGTGCTTCACAATGGAAGGGGTGGTCAAGAGCTTCACAAGGGAAGGGGTAGTCAAGTGCTTCACAAGGGAAGGGGTGGTCAAGTGCTTCACAAGGGTAGGGGAGGGTCAAGTGCTTTACAAGGGAAGGGTTGGTCAAGTGCTTCTCAAGGGAAGGGGTGGCCAAGTGCTCTACAAGGGAAGGGGTGGTCAAATGCTTCACAAGGGAAGCAGTGGTCAAGTGCTCCACAAAGGAAGGGTTGGTCAAGTGCTTCACAAGGGAAAGGGTGGCCAAGTGCTTCACAAGGGAAGGGGTGGTCAAGTGCTTCACAAAGGAAGGGGTGGACAAGTGCTTCACAAGGGAAGGGATGGTCAAGTGCTTCACAAGGGAAGGGTTGGTCAAGTGCTTCACAAGGGAAGGGGTGGTCAAGTTCTTCTCAAGGGAAGGGGTGGCCAAGTGCTTCACAAGGGAAGGGGTGGTTAAGTGCTTCACAAGGGAAGGGGTGGTCAAGTGCTTCACAAGGGAAGGGTTGGTCAAGTGCTTCACAAGGGAAGGGGTGGCCAAGTGCTTCACAAGGGAAGGGGTGGTCAATTGCTTCACAAAGGAAGGGGTGGACAAGTGCTTCACAAGGGAAGGGATGGTCAAGTGCTTCACAAGGAAGGGTTGGTTAAGTGTTTCACAAGGGAAGGGGTGGCCAAGTGCTTCACAAGGGAAGGGGTGGTCAAGTGCTTCACAAGGGAAGGGGTGGCCAAGTGCTTCACAAGGGAAGGGGTGGTCAAGTGTTTCACAAGGGAAGGGGTGGGCAAGTGCTTCACAAGGGAAGTTGTGGTCAAGTGCTTCACAAGGGAAGGGGTGGTCAAGTGCTTCACAAGGGAAGGGGTGGTCAAGTGTTTCATAAGGGAAGAGGTGGTCAAGTACTTCACAAGGGAAGGGGTAGTCAAGTGCTTCACAAGGGAAGGTGTGGTCAAATGCTACACAAGGGAAGGGGTGGTCAAGTGCTTCACAAGGGAAGGGGTGGTCAAGTGCTTCACAAGGGAAGGGGTGGTCAAGTGCTTCACAAGGGAAGGGGTGGTCAAGTGCTTCACAAGGGAAGGGGTGGTCAAGTGCTTCACAAGGGAAGGGGTGGTCAAGAGCTTCACAAGGAAAGGGGTGGTCAAGTGCTTCACAAGGGAAGGGGTGGTCAAGTGCTTCACAAGGGAAGGGGTGGTCAAGTGCTTCACAAGGGAAGGGGTAGTCAAGTACTTCACAAGGGAAGGGGTGGCCAAGTGCTTCACAAGGGAAGGGTTGGTCAAGTGCTTCACAAGGGAAGGGGTGGCCAAGTGCTCCACAAGGGAAGGGGTGGTCAAATGCTTCACAAGGGAAGGAGTAGTCAAGTGCTCCACAAGGGAAGTTTTGGTCAAGTGCTTCACAAGGGAAAGGGTGGCCAAGTGCTTCACAAGGGAAGGGGTGTTCAAGTACTTAACAAGGGAGGGGGTGGTCAAGTACTTCACAAGGGAAGGGGTGGTCAAGTACTTCACAAGGGAAGGGTTGGTCAAGTGCTTCACAAGGGTAGGGCTGGTCAAGTACTTCACATGGGGAGGGCTGGTCCAGTACTTCACAATGTTAGGGCTGGTCAAGTACTTCACAAGGGGAGGGCTTGTCAAGTTCTTCACAAGGGAAGGACTGGTCAAGTGTTTCACAGTAAACAGGTGTTGTCAGTATATGCCAAACAACCACTGTGAAAGAATAGGGAAATTCCAAGTGTTTTCGTGACTTCTTACATTATCAAGCAAATATAAAAACAATACATCAAAGGAAGGCATATAAAGGGTCAAGACTACACCTCACCATCACATCCCACAACAAAGCAACACCTCACACACGCCTGACAACACCCTATTATGTGAAACACACCTAATACTCTACCCAAGAATTAGGATTTATTACTTGTTAAATGTATCATTAAATTCTTACCAAATTCTATTAATTATAAATGGATCTAATTTATATAAACTAAGGGAAATATTCATATTATTGTCAAAGATGCTTTTTTTGAAACAAGATTCAATTATGTTCCTGTCAACCATGGACTTTCTTGATTCAAGTTTCTCAACTTTTTGAAAATCAATTTGATGGTTAAAATTTCTCACATGGATAAATAGAGCATTGGAATCTTGTCCAGTTCTAATGCTATATTTATGTTGTTATAATCTTAGTTCGAGACTTTTACCAGTTTGACCATAATAAACTTTATGGCAAATTTTACAAGGAATCTAATAGACGAATCCCTCAGCATTTTGGGGGGAATTCTTTATCAAAATTTTTTTTACTGTATCAAGATTTTTAAATACAACTTTGATATTAAAAGTCTAAAGAAGAGAAGGCATATCAACCAAGTTTTCATGGTAAGGGAGAACCAACATATTTTTACTTGAATAAGGCTGGTTGTCCCTTTTTGTATAGTAAAAAGTATTTCTAGCAATTTTAAATGATTTATCAATTATGTTTCTTGGGTATTTCAAATCATTAGCTATTTCATAAATTTTTAATATATCCTCATCTATGAACTCTGGACAAATACGTAAAGTTCTCAAAAACATTGATGAGAAAACCGTCAGTTTAACTCTATCTTGATGTGAAAAATAATAGTGGACATAGGAACAATTATTTGTAGGTTTTCTGTAAATTTTAAATTTGAAGTCATTATTACCCATAATAATTAAAACATCTAGATGTGAGGCAAGATGAGACACGAACTTTGGAATAATTAACTTATATAACTGAGGCAGTGTAAACTAAATAATGATCAAGTTTCTTTCAAACTAGTATGCATTTGATTGCAGTTTTACGAATTCTGTGCATATTTCTGTTAATTCTGTGCAGATTTCTCCAAGAATACAATGTCATTTTAATTTGCATATTAAAATCTATCTGTACATATATCCAAAGACTTCCAAGATTATCTTATATACAATAAGAATTTGTATAGTGAATGTTGATAATCTTAGCCTTTTAGTTCTTGCTTCAGTAGAGAAATAAATTAACAGATTTAACTACAAAGTCCTAACAGTTTATAACGTATGTTTAGAGAATTTGTCAAGATATATATAAAACATTTCAAATTTAATCTTACCATAACATTGACAACGTAACCAGTCGAGGGTTGTAGATCACTGATAACAAATATATAGAGTATTGCTGAGATATTCGACTGATTAACCAATATATTGTTTAGATACCAGGAGATGTGCCAGTTCTGAAGTATCCCATTCATTTGCGTAGGCGGTGACCAGGATATAGTGACCTCAGTTGTGGTGCTGCTGTCCTGCCTGAGGCTGGTGGGTGCCGTAGCCTCTGTTCAAGGTGCAGCGTCGCCAAGGTAAACACATATAATTAGAAGTATAAAAAAATATTTCTTTAGTAACAGAATAAGTCCAACATGGCATACAATAAACCACGGAATTGGAGTGGACTAAACCCATGGAAAATGAGTCCTAAAACTGAAGGTCAGTGCATAAACCACTCGGTCAGTTTACTTGGTTTAACTACAATCGGTTTCGTGAGTCGAGATATACAATAAAGTTTCTCGTATATTTATTAGTGTTGATTCTTTCATCTCATGTTTAATTCGTACTAATTAAAAATTTTTAATACATAGTTTAAAGTTTTGCATTTAATTATTGCCGGTGCAAAACTACCGTAAACTTGACTCGGTATAATTATTGCCGGTGCAAAACTACCGTAAACTTGACTCGGTATAATTATTGCCGGTGCAAAACTACCGTAAACTTGACTCGGTATAATTATTGCCGGTGCAAAACTACCGTAAACTTGACTCGGTATAATTATTGCCGGTGCAAAACTACTGTAAACTTGACTCCGTATAATTATTGCCGGTGCAAAACTACCGTAAACTTGACTCGGTATAATTATTTCATTTATATGTATAACCGGATATGACACTTGTAAAAATCGATCGTCCTGTCAAACTGGCAAATCTGACTGTTATTTTCACAAAGTAATTCAGCTCATGAATTAAGTGGTGTGAGGGAATGTTCGCCACGAAATTGACAGAACCTTTGAATTACAGTTAGTCTAAGTTTAATGAGAAGCTTGTTACTAATGACTCACGAAATCTTAATGACATGATTGCAAATAAACCATACCACGGGTGGGATGGAACCCGCGATCAGAGTCACGAAATTCCAGACTGCGCGTCGGTCTGGAGATTTGTGAGTCTATGATCGCGGGTTATATCCCGTCAGTGGTATGGATTGGTTTTTCAAGGACTGTTGTGGGAAATAATTGGAATAAAATACCTACACAACAGAAAAATGAACACATAAGCAGTATAATATGATCTTTCATTGACAACGTTTCGCCCACACAGTGGACTTTATCAGGTCACAAACAGATCTGTTTGTGACTTGAAAAAGCCCACTATGTGGGCTTTATCCGTGCCCACCTGACCTACAGCCAAGGGTTCTACCCCCCCTGGACCTGCTCCTAGCTACCCTCTAACTACATCATGCCAGTGAACCCTTACTGAAATAAACCTGTATTAGTCAACGGCATTTAGTGAACCCTCCAAACTACCCTGCTACCTATCAGCGCTACCAAGAAGAGACATTACATGTGTATATGTTTGCACTTGCATTTAGTGAATGGTTTTATCCTCTTGATTATAAGTAGTTCCTCCCTCCTTATTAAGTATCTAGATATTGTTAACCTTGCTGGTTAAGAAAGTTAACCTCATTTGTTTGTACTAATTAGATTATTTGACTCTGCTGATTAATAAAGTTGCTTCATTTAAATTCCAATAATTCTATTTGTATCTGAAGCATGGTAGACGCGTCACTTGAGTCCTTCAGCAGTGTTTGATAGTGATGTCTGGCAGCAATAAGGTATTGTCTTGATGTCTGGTACCTCATTTAATTCTCTCTCTAACATGTCTCGTTTAACTAATCACTATAGTAACTCACACAATACCAAGATTTTCCTTGATTATTTATTTTATAGACACAGATTTACCATACCACGGGCGGGGATTGAACTTGTGGCGAGTGAGTCGTAAAACTCCAGCCAGCTCACGTTCATAACCTGGGATCCTCACCTCACGTACCTAACCTGGGAAACTCATCTCACGTACGTAACCTGGTATCCCTATCTCACGTACCTAACCCGGGATCCTCATCTCACGTACCTAACCCGAGATCCTCATCTTACGTACCTAACCCGGGATCCTCATCTCACGTACCTAACCCGAGATCCTCATCTCACGTACCTAACCCGGGATCCTCATCCCACGTACCTAACCTGAGATCCTCATCTCACGTACCTAACCCGGGATCCTCATCCCATGTACCTAACCCGGGATCCTCACCTCACGTAAGCTAATGTAAGAATACGACAGATAAGCTTAAATTTATTTAATATTTTTTAATGTCTACGAAATAAATTATTTTTTCGTTATGCTCAGACTGATTTTCTCAGATTTATTGTATCAACAAACATTCACTCGGATTTCTCTTTCTCGGAAGAAATCTCCCTTGATATTTACCCCAAACTCACTGGTTTTGTTTCTGTACGACAATGATTGTTGGCCTAAGCAATGCATATTATATATATATATATTATATATATATATATATATATATATATTATATATATATATATATATATATATATATATATATATATTATATATATATATATGATATTATATATATATATATATATATATATATTATATTATATATATATATATTATATATATATATATATATTATATATATATATATATATTATAATATAATATATATATATATATATATATATATATATATATATATATATATATATATATATATATATATATATATATATATATATATATATATATATTATACATGTATATATTCCTGGTTTTAATATCGTTTCTTAAAAGTGTTCTTTAGAAATCAATAATTTTTAAGGCATCTGGACAAGTTTGATATAAAAACAATACACATGAGCAGATGTTTATCATATATTGTTGAAGGTAATGGTACTGACTAGCCTCCTTGGTGGTGGCAGAGCAGCAGTGGACGTTGTTAAGGCCATTCACAACATTCATGCAGGCAGAAATATTTGAGTAAGGTGGAAGGTTGTCAAGCACTAAACTGGTGCTGGTGCCTTCAAGAGTTGTGCTGTTCTCACCTGTAACAGACAAAACACCAACTTTCTCTCACTCGGAGTCAAATGTAAATACAGATTGACTGCCTTTTTATATACACTTATTAATATATCCTGGAACTCTAAACTCTCTTAAACTTGCTTATATCACTACATTTATTGTCTTGTAATAAGTTACATACTTCTCAAATTAAACTCTGTTATTATTGTATTTACGATCTAAGAGTCATTAAGGTAGGTATCGTTAGTCCTGATTAATTATTATACCTGGTCCTGTGACGCTGGTCACGTGAACCTGGTGTTGTGACCATGGCTCAGTGACCCGGGGCCCGTGAACCTGGTGCTGTGACCCTGGTCCCATGAATCTGGTCCCATGATCCTCGTTCTGTGACCCTGATCCCTTAAGCCTGGTCCTGTGACCCTGATCTCGCGACCCTGGTCCCGTGACACTGGTCCCATGACCCTGGTCCTGTGACCCTGGTCCTGTGACCCTGGTCATGTGACATCGGACCTGTGATGCCAGTCCTGTGACCCGGATGACACACATGACACCCAACATGACACCCAACATGACACCCAACATGACACCCAACATGGCACCCAACATGACACCCAACATGACACCCAACATGACACCCAACATGACACCCATGACACATGAACATGACCCAACATGACACCCAACATGACACCAATCACCCAACATGACACCCAACATGACACCACTGACACCAACATGACACCCAACATGACACACCAACATGACACCCAGACCATGACACCCAACATGACACCCAACATGACACACAACATGACACCCAACATGACACCCAACATGACACCAACATGACACCCAACATGACACCCAACTGACACCCAACATGACACCACAAACAATGACACCAACATGACACCCAACATGACACACCAACATGACACCCAACATGACACCCAACATGACACCCAACATGACACCACATGACCAACATGACACCCAACATGACACCCAACATGACACCAACATGACACCCAACATGACACCCAACACGACACCCAACATGACACCAATGACACCCAAACATGACACCAACATGACACCCAACATGACACCCAACATGACACCAACATGACACCCAACATGACACCAACATGACACCAACATGACACCCAACATGAACCACATGACACCAACAGACACCAACATAACACAACATACACCCAACATGACACCCAACATGACACCCACATACACATGACACCCAACATGACACCCAACATGACACCCAAGCATGACACCAACATGACACCCAACATGACTACAACCAACATGACACCCATACATGACACCCAACATGAACCAACAGCACCCAACATGACACCCAACATGACACCAACATGACACCAACATGACCCCAACATGACACCCAACATACACCAACATGACACCCTAACATGACACCCAACATGACACCCAACATGACCAACTGACCACACATGACACCCACATGACACCAACATGACACCCAACATGACACCCAACATGACACCCAACATGCACGTAACATGACACCCAACATGACACCAACATGACACCAACATGACACCAACATGACACCAAACATGACACCTAACATGACTCCCAACATACACCCAACATGACACCCAACATGACACCCAACATGACACCCAACTGACACAATGACACCAACATGACACCAACATGACACCCAACATGACACCACATGAACCAATGACACCAACATGACACCTAACATGACACCCAACATGACACCAACATGACACCCAACATGACACCCAACATGACACCCAACATGACACCAACATGACACCCAACATGACACCCAACATGACACCAACATGACACCTAACATGACACCAACATGACACCACTGACCAACTGCACCAATGACACCCAACATGACACCAACATGAACCAATGACACCCAACATGACACCCAACATGACACCCAACATGACACCAACATGCACACTCCAACATGACACCAACATACACAAATGACACCAACATGACACCAACATGACACCTAACATGACACCCAACATGACACCCAACATGACACCCAACATGACACCTAACATGACACCCAACATGACACCCAACATGACACCAACATGACACCTAACATGACACCCAACATGACACCCTAACATGACACCCAACATGACACCCAACATACACCCAACATGACACCCAACATGACACCTAAACATGACACCAACATGACACCAACATAACAACATGACACCCAACATGACACCAACATGACACCTAACATGACACCAACATGACACCAACATGACACCCAACATGACACCAACATGACACTACATGACACCTAACATGACACCTAACATGACACCTAACATGACACCCAACATGACACCCAACATGACACCTAACATGACACCTAACATGACACCCAACATGACACCCAACATGACACCTAACATGACACCAACATGACACCACATGACATGACACCCAACATGACACCCAACATGACACCTAACATGACACCTAACATGACACCAACATGACACCAACATCGCACCTAACATGACACCCAATATACACCAACATGACACCCAAACATGACACATAATATGACATCTAACATAACACCCAACATGACACCCAACATACACCCAACATGACACCCAACATGACACCCTAACATGACACCCAACATGACACCCAACATGACACCTAACATGACACCCAACATGACACCCAACATGACACCCAACATGACACCCAACATGACACCTAACATGACACCTAACATGACACCTAACATGACACCCAACATGACACCTAACATGACACCCAACATGACACCCAACATGACACCCAACATGACACCTAACATGACACCCAACATGACACCCAACATGACACCCAACATGACACCTAACATGACACCCAACATGACACCCAACATGCCACCCAACATGCCACCCAACATGACACCTAACAGACACCTAACATGACACCCAACATGACAAACAACAACAACAGAGTAATCCTTAAGTTATACCACTGGAATTTAACTCCATTTTTGCCAGTTATATGAACCTTTAAGGTTAAACTAATGTGCGTTTTGTAATTCCAGCATTCTGGAATTACTGGGATAACTCTGGTCAAAAGGACCGGTAATGTGACAGTTGTTGCAAGATTTGGAAGTTTGAAGCCGAGTCGATGACGCATTCTTCAGGTATAAACGAATTATTGTAAAGAAAAGATTGAGAGAGTAAAACGAGAAAAATCATTCAGGAAACCTTTTAAATTAAAGTCCCCCCCCCTTAGGGGATACCTAATAATGAATAATAATTATATAAATAATAATAAATAATAATAATAATAATAATAATAATAATGATAATAATAATAATAATAATGATAATAATAATAATAATAATGATATAATAATAATGATAATAATAATAATATAATAATAATAATATAATAATAAATAATAATAATAATGATAATAATAATAATAATATAATATAATAATAATAATGATAATAATAATAATGATAATAATAATAATAATAATAATAATAATTAATAATAATAATAATAATAATAATAATAATAATAGTAATAATAATGATAATAATAATAATTGATAATAATAATAATAATAATAATAATAATAATAATAACAATAATAATAATAATAATAATAATGATAATAATAATAATAATATAATGAATAATAATAATAATATGATAATAATAATAATAATAATGATAATAAATAATAATAATAATAATAATAATAATAATATAATAATATAAAAAATAATATTAATGATAATAATAATAATATAATAGAATAAATAATAATAATAATAATAATAATAATAATAATAATAATAATAATAATAATAATAATAATAATAATAATAATAATAATAATAATGATAATAATAATAATAATAATAATAATGATAATTAATAATAATAATAATAATAATAATATATAATAATAATAATAATATTATAATTAATATAATATAATATAATAAAAATAATAATAATAATAATAATATATTAATAATAATAATAATAATAATAATAATATAATAATAATAATTAATAATAGGAAGAAGAAGAAGAAGAAGAAGAAGAAGAAGAAGAAGAAGAAGAAGAATCAATATTAGAAACTACCATAATTATAATTACTTTATCAAACTTCTAAATTTAAGTCAGATTATTGTATAATTTTTAAGGACCTGTGAAGGTAATATCCACGACCTGTGAAGGTAATATCCACGACCTGTGAAGGTAATATCCACGACCTGTGAAGGTAATATCCACGACCTGTGAAGGTAATATCCACGACATGTGAGGTAATATCAGATCTGTGAAGTTAATATCCACGACCTTGTGAAGGTAATATCCACGACCTGTGAAGGTAATAATCCACGACTGATGAAGGTAATATCCACGACCTAGTGAAGGTAAATCACAGACTGTGAAGGTAATAATCCACGACTGTGAAGGTAATATCCACGACCTGTGAAGGTTAATATCAGATGTAAAAGGTAATATCACGACCTGTGAAGGTATATCACGACATGTGAAGGTAATATCACGATGTGAAGGTAATATACGACCTGTGAAGGTAATATATACGACTGTGAAGGTAATATCACGACTGTGAAGTAATATCAGACTTGAGGTAATATAGATCTGTGAAGTAATATCAGACTGTAAGGTAATATACGATTGAAGTAATAGTCACGAATGTGAAGGTAATATCCACGATTCTGTGAAGTTAATATCACGATGTGAATGGAAATACGATGTGAATAATATCAGATGTGAAGGTAATAATAAGACTGTGAAGGTAACATCAGACTGTGAAGGTAATATCCAAGACTGTAAGAAGGAATATCAGACATGTGAAGGTAATATTCAGACCTGTGAAGTAATTCACTGTAATGTAATATCCAGACCTTGTGAAGGTTAAGTTCAGATGTGGAGGGTAATATCAGATTGTGGTTATAGACCTGTGAAGGTAATATCCACGACCTGTGAAGGTAATATCCACGATCATGTGAAGGTAATATCCACGATCTGTGAAGTTAATATCCACGACTGTGAAGGTAATATCCACGACCTGTGAAGGTAATATCCACGATCTGTGAGGTAATATCCACGACCTGTGAAGGTAAATCCACGACCTGTGAAGGTAATATCATGACCTGTGAAGGTAATATCCACGACCTGTGAGGAATATCCACGACCTGTGAAGGTAATATCACGACCTGTGAAGGTAATATCCACGACATGTGAAGGTAATATCCACGACTGTGAAGGTAATATCCACGACTGTGAAGGTATATCCACGACCTGTGAAGGTATAATCCACGACCTGTGAAGGTAATATCCACGACCTTGGGGAGGTAATATCCACGACTGTGGGTAATATCCACGACCTGTGAAGGTAATATCCACGATCTGTGAAGGTAATATCCACGACCTGTGAAGGTAATATCCACGACCTGGGGAAAGGTAATATCCACGACCTGTGAAGGTAATATCCACGACCTGTGAAGGTAATATCCACGACCTGTGAAGGTAATATCCACGACCTGTGAAGGTAATATCCACGACCTGTGAAGGTAATATCAATGACCTGTGAAGGTAATATCCACGACCTGTGAAGGTAATATCCACGACCTGTGAAGGTAATATCCACGACATGTGAAGGTAATATCCACGATCTGTGAAGTTAATATCCACGACCTGTGAAGGTAATATCCACGACCTGTGAAGGTAATATCCACGACCTGTGAAGGTAATATCCACGACCTGTGAAGGTAATATCCACGACCTGTGAAGGTAATATCCACGACCTGTGGAGGTAATATCCATGACCTGTGAAGGTAATATCGACTACCTGTAAAGGTAATATCCACGACCTGTGAAGGTAATATCCACGACCTGTGGAGGTAATATCCACGACCTGTGAAGGTAATATCCACGACCTGTAGAGGTAATATCCACGACCTGTGAAGGTAATATCCACGACCTGTGAAGGTAATATCCACGACCTGTGAAGGTAATATCCACGACCTGTGAAGGTAATATCCACGATCTGTGAAGGTAATATCCACGACCTGTGAAGGTAATATCCACGACCTGTGGAGGTAATATCCACGATCTGTGAAGGTAATATCCACGATCTGTGAAGGTAATATCCACGACCTGTGAAGGTAATATCCACGATCTGTGAAGGTAATATCCACGACCTGTGAAGGTAATATCCACGACCTGTGAAGGTAATATCCACGACCTGTGGAGGTAATATCAACGACCTGTGAAGGTAATATCCACGACCTGTGGAGGTAATATCCAAGACCTGTGAAGGTAATATCCATGACCTGTGGAGGTAATATCCACGACCTGTGAAGGTTATATCCACGAACTGTGGAGGTAATATCCACGACCTGTGAAGAATCGGTAATAATTCCACGACCTGTGGAAGTTAATATCCACGACCTGTGAAGGTAATATCCACACCTGTGGAGGTAATATCCACGACCTGTGAAGGTAAATCCACGACTGTGAGGTAATATCCATGACCTGTAAAGGGTTTAATATCCACGACCTGTAAAGGGTTTAATATCCACGACCTGTAGAGGTAATATCCACGACCTGTGAAGGTAATATCCACGACCTGTGAAGATAATATCCACGATCTGTGAAGGTAATATTCACGACCTGTGAAGGTAATATCCACGACCTGTGAAGGTAATATCCACGATCTGTGAAGGTAATATCCACGACCTGTGAAAGTAATATCCACGATCTGTGAAGGTAATATCCACGACCTGTGAAGGTAATATCCACGACCTGTGAAGTTAATATCCACGACCTGTGAAGGAAATATCCACGACCTGTGAAGGTAATATCCACGATCTGTGAAGTAATATCCACGACCTGTGAAGGTATATCCACGACCTGTTAGGTAATATCCATGACCTGTGAAGGTAATATCCACGATCTGTGAAGGTAATATCCACGACCTGTAGAGGTAATATCCACGACCTGTGAAGGTAATATCCACGATCTGTGAAGGTAATATCCACGATCTGTGAAGGTAATATCCACGACCTGTGAAGGTAATATCCACGACCTGTGAAGGTAATATCCACGATCTGTGAAGGGTTAATAATCCACGACCTGTGAAGGTAATATCCATGACCTGTGAAGGTAATATCCACGACCTGTGGAGGTAATATCCACGACCTGTGAAGGTAATATCCACGACCTGTGAAGGTAATTTCCACGACCTGTGAAGGTAATGTCCACGACCTGTGAAGGTAATATCCATGACCTGTGAAGGTAATATCCACGACCAGTGAAGGTAATATCCACGGTCTGTGAAGATAATATCCACGACCTCTAGAGTTAATATCCAGGACCTGTGAAGGTAATATCCACGACCTGTGAAGTTAAAATCGACGACTGTGAAGGTAATATCCACGACCTGTGAAGGTAATATCCACGACCTGTGAAGGGTTTAATATCCACGACCTGTGGAGGTAATATCACGACCTTGGAGGTAATATCCACGACCTGTGAAGGTAATATCCACGATCTGTGAAGGTAATATCCACGACCTGTGAAGGTAATATCCACGACCTGTGAAGGTAATATCCACGACCTGTGAAGGTAATATCCATATCTTTGAAGGTAATATCCACGATCTGTGAAGGTAATATCCACGACCTGTGAAGGTAATATCCACGACCTGTGAAGGTAATATCCACGACCTGTGGAGGTAATATCCACGACCTGTGAAGGTAATATCCACGACCTGTGAGGTAATATCCACGACCTGTGAAGGTAATATCCACGGTCTGTGAAGGTAATATCCACGACCTTTAGAGGTAATATCCACGACCTGTGAAGGTAATATCCACGATCTGTGAAGGTAATATCCAATACCTGTGAAAATAATATCCACGACCTGTGAAGGTAATATCCACGACCTTTAGAGGTAATATCCACGACCTGTGGAGGTAATATCCACGACCTGTGAAGGTAATATCCAATACCTGTGAAAATAATATCCACGACCTGTGAAGGTAATATCCACGACCTGTGAAGGTAATATCCACGACCTGTGAAGGTAATATCCACGACCTGTGAAGGTAATATCCACGACCTGTGAAGGTAATATCCACGACCTGTGAAGGTAATATCCACGACCTGTGAAGGTAATATCCACGACCTGTGAAGGTAATATCCACGACCTGGGGACGGTAATATCCACGGTCTGTGGAGGTAATATCCACGACCTGTGAAGGTAATATCCACGACCTGTGAAGGTAATATCCACGATCTGTGAAGGTAATATCCACGATCTGTGAAGGTAATATCCACGACCTGTGAAGGTAATATCAACGATCTGTGAAGGTAATATCCATACGACCTGTGGAGGTAATATCCACGACCTGTGAAGGTAATATCCACGACCTGTGAAGGTAATATCCACGACCTGTAGAGGTAATATCCACGACCTGTAGAGGTAATATCCACGACCTGTGGAGGTAATATCCACGACCTGTGAAGGTAATATCCACGACCTGTGGAGGTAATATCCAAGACCTGTGAAGGTAATATCCACGACCTGTGGAGGTAATGTCCACGACCTGTGGAGGTAATATCCACGACCTGTGGAGGTAATATCCACGACCTGTGAGGGTAATATCCACGACCTGTGAAGGTAATATCCACGATCTGTGAATGTAATATCCACGATCTGTGAAGGTAATATCCACGATCTGTGAAGGTAATATCCACGACCTGTGAAGGTAATATCCACGATCTGTGAAGGTAAATCCACGACTGTGAAGGTAATATCACATGACCTGTGAAGGTAATATCCACGATCTGTGAAGGTAATATCCACGACCTGTGAGGGTAATATCCACGTTCTGTGAAGTTAATATCCACAACCTCTGAAGGTAATATCCACGACCTGTGAAGGTAATATCCACGACCTGTGAAGGTAATATCCACGACCTGTGAAGGTAATATTCACGATCTGTGAAGGTAATATCCACGACCTGTGAAGGTAATATCCACGACCTATGAAGGTAATATCCACGACCTGTGAAGGTAATATCCAATACCTATGGAGGTAATATCCACGACGGTAAAACAACCCCAGCTGCTCTAATATAAACTTATCTATTAAATAGATATCTATTTGCTATTTGTTCTGGTACATATTTTTTTCTTAAATAACTGAACTAACCTATATTTGGTCGACCTTCTGAAGGTTAGTATTTTTTTTTAAATAAAAATCTATAATTTTTAGCAAGTTGAGCAAATTGCATTAGTTTACCTCAGCAAGAAGATTGCTAACCAAAACTGCAAAAATTCCTATAAAACTCAAAAACGCTATAAAGCGGTGAATGAAAGATCCCCCTTCTCCCCCCCCCGCCCCCACAGCAACAAAGATCACTTACTCTCTTTCTCAGCCCAATTACGGTTGTTGTCCACTTTAAGAAATACTGGGAGACGGAACAGCCTTGTCCCTCCAGAGTCCAGTCGAGTCTCACTTGCTGGGAATTACTGAGAGTACATGATACTTCTGAAACTGAACAACATATCTTTAGTGCCGAATAGGTAAAAGTGTGTCAAGCGAGAACTCGTTTAAAATTAAGTCCTTTCTAAAAATTTCTCATATACACTTTTAAAGATATATTTTTTTCATTTAGTTTAATGTAAAAATTAATAATTTTGAACCTGGAGTTTTATCTGGAGAGAGTTCCAGGGGTCAACGCCCCCTTACCTTATTTTAACAAGGGCAATTTAATTTATCTTAATCCAACTAAATATGTGTTAGATAAATGTACAATACTTCATCATTCCACCAATCACTCCTCTTTCCTCTTGCACCCACCCTCCTATAACCACAAACTTCTGCCCCACATTCTAATACTGCATTTTAAAAACTATTCCAACCCTCTTCAACCTCCCCCCCCCCACTACTCATACTTGCACCAGTCCACCTTTCTGCCAATAATTACTTATATCTCACCCGAACTTCATCCTACCTTAGTTTATACACTTTCACCTCCCTCTTACTTGTTGTTGCCATTTTCCTCTTATCCCATCTACCTCTTACTCTAACTGTAGCTACAACTAAATAATGGTCCGATATTCAGTTTTTTTTTTTTATATTTTATTTAAAACTCGGGGTACAAAAATTTTGGGGAAACATAATCAATATGAACAAAAAACAGGCAGAAAACGATAATTCGATATATCATTCCCCCTCTATAAACGTGTACATCCTGGAGCCTCCCATAAACCTTTTTACCCACCAAATAAATTAAAAAACTACTTTCATTCGTGCTATATTTCCCTCATATAATTTTTACCCTTTTTCATAAAATATGTATTCTTATTACCAACCTTTTTCTCACTTTTACCCCGGGCATCAGAATTTTAACTATTACTCCCTCTAAAACATTTTTACCCAATTTACTTTGGGGAAAAGTACTCTCCAGGGTTAAAAAACTCCCCAGCATTCATCAACATTTCCCCAAATCTCTCTGTCTCTGTCTCTTCTGCTGTCGTCTGTCTGCGTCTCTCTCTCTCCTCTCTCTCTCTCCTTTCTCCTCTTCTCCTTTCTCTCTCTCTTTTTCTCCTCTCGCCCCCTCCCCTTTCTACACTTCTCATCTCCAGGTGCAAAACATTACTAAACCCATTTTTCAACCCAAACCCCTTATTTTACTCCCAAAAATACGTTTTTTTTAACTTATCCTTTAACATTATTTCTACTCCTTCCTTTTGCTCTAAAAATACAGAAACCCCCGACCAAATCTCATTTATTTCTCTCCACAAAGCTCTTCACTCCCTTCAGCTTTGTTTTACTTAAAACCAGAAATCCATATCTTTCATTCTTTAAATCCACAAAACTCTTTTTATATTCACGCAAATCCCGCACCCTTTAGATTCCCTCTTTAAAAGGTTTTTTTTTTTCTTTTTAGTAGGCATACAGCAAAAGGATTGATATGGAAAACAATAAAAACAACCCCATTAATAAAAATCAAAGAAAAAACCCGATAAGTGTCATACAAAATTGTACGTATGTGTATTTTGACCTAAGTGTAAGTAAAATAGCAAGAGTACCCGTAATCTTTCATGTTTTTGAGACAGACAAAGACACCACAATCCACCACATGTAAAAAAAAATCAAGTCTTTTGTTTTACACTCACTTGGGAGGAAGGTAGTACCTCCCTGGGTGGTTTCTGTCTTACCAAAAAAACCCCCCCTTTCCCCACACCACAGGACGGAGTACCTCCCCGGGTGGTTGCTGTTACCAACCTACAAACCCCAGAGGTAGTACCCCCTGGGTTGGTTGCTTCTACCAACCTCTACCCCAAGACGGTAGTACCTCCCGGGGGGGTTGCTTTACCAACCCACACCAAGGACGGGAGTACCTCCCTGGGTGGTTTTTTGTCTAAACCCCACTACCAAGGGGCGGGAGTCCTCCCGGGGGTGGGGTGTCACCAAATACCCCCAAAGGGCGTAGAACTCCCTGGGGGGTTGCTGTCTTCCCAACTTACCAAGGACCTATACCTCCCTGGGTTGGTTTCTGTCCCCAAAACCCATACCATAGGGACCGTATACTCCCTGGGGTTGCGGGAAAACCCTTTTCCCTGGACCGTATTACCCCCTGTGGTTGTTTTCTTCAACCTAAACATAGGAGTTTTACCTCCCGGGGGGTTGCTGTTTCCCCAAAAATACTACCATGGACCGAAAGTACCTCCCTGGGTGGTGCTTCACCAACCACTAAATAACCGTAGAAATCCCTGGGGGGTTGTGTCTTTCCCAAATACTTTTAAAAGGACCGTATACCCCCCTGGGTGGGTTTTTGTCACCAACCTACCAAGACCGTAGTACTCCCCGGGAGTTGTATCTACCCAAACCCACTCCATAGACGTAGTAAACCCCCTGGTTTGCTGTCTACCAACCTACTACCTAGGACCGTAGTACCCCCCCTGGGGGGTTGTTTTTTACCAACCTATACCCTGGGGCCCTAGTATTTCCCTGGGGTGCTTCTACCAACCTACTACCATAGGGCCGTGTCCTCCCTGGTGGTTGTGTTCCAAAACCTATACCTAGGGCCCTAGTACCTCCCCGGGGGGGGTTTTCTTTTACCAACCATACCCGGATTAGTACCTCCTGGGTGGTTGCTGTTACCAACCACTACCATAGGACCGTAGTACCCCCCGGGGGTTTGTCACCAAAATACACCATAGGACGTATACCTCCCGGGTTTTTGCTATCTACCAACTACTACCAAAAGGACCGTTACCTTCTGGGGGGTTGCTTTACCCTACACCATAGGACCGTAGTACCCCTGGGGGTTCCCGTCACCAACCTACTACCAAAAACCTAGTACCTCCCGGGTGGTTGCTTTACCAACCATACCATAGGACCGTAAACTTCCCCGGGGGTTGTATTTACCAACCCACTCCATGGGGCCGGTCCCCCTGGGGGGGGCTGTCTACCAATCTACAAAGGGCCTAGACCTCCCCGGGGGGTTCTTTTTACCCCCTACTACCTAGGACCGTAGTACCCCCAGGGTGGGGTTTTTTTTACCCAAACCCCAAACCCTAGGACCGTTAGTCCCTTTTCCGGGTGGGGTTTTTCTACCAAATTCCACCCCAGGACCGTACCTCCCTGGGTGGTTGCTTTTACCAAAAACCCACACCCTGGAAATACCTCCCTGGGTGGGTTTTTGTCTACAAACCCACTACCAAGGACGGTAGTACCCCCTGAGGAGTTGCTGTCTACCAAACATCCTACCACAGGGCGATAGTTCCCCCCCTGGGTGGTTGCTTTTTCCCAAAAATCCCCCCACGGACGGTATCCTCCCTGGGTGGTTGCTTTCAACCAACCTACTACCAAGGACCGTAGTCCCCTCCCTGGGGGTTTGGCTAAACCCCTACTCCTAGGACCGAGTACCTCACTGGGTGGTTGCTTTCTCCCAAACCCACTACCATAGGCCCGAGCCCTTCCCTGGGTGGTTGCTGCTACCAACTACTACCATGGCCCGTGACCTCCTTGGGGGTTACATCTCCCAACCTACTACCTAGGACGTATCCCTTTCCTGGGTGGTTGCTACTCCAACCTACTACCATAGGACCGTAGAACCCCCCTGGGGGGTTGCTGTCTAAAACCTTCTAAAAAACGCCATAGTACGTGCCTGGGGGGGTTTGCTGTTACCACTACACCATACACCGTAGTTCCCCCCGGGGTTTGGTTGCTTTTTCCCAAACCCTACTACCTTTGGACCTTTTAGTACCTTCCTGGGTGGTTGCTGTCTACCAACCTACTACCATAGGACCGTAGTACCTCCCTGGGTGGTTGCTATCTACCATCCTACTACCATAGGACCGTAGTACCTTCCTGGGTGGTTGCTGTCTACAATTACTACCAAGGACCTTTAGTACCTCCTGGGGGGTTGCTACTCCCAAAACACCCTTCCACAGGAGGTAGTGCCTCGTGGGTGTTTGCTGTCTACCAACCCCTACCATGGTCAAAAGTACCCCCCAGAGTGTTGCTGTCTACAACCTACTACCTTAGGCGGTAGTACCCCCCGGAGTATTGCGGTTTCCCAACATTACCCGGGCGGTAGTTCCCCCTGGGGGGTTTGCTATCTCCCAAAACACCTAACAGAGGGGGTAGTACCCCCCTGGGTGGTTGTGTCTACCAACCTATACCATAGGAGGGGTAGTCCCTCTCGGGGGGGTTTGCTATTACCAACATCGTCCCAAAAGACGGTAGTACCCCCCGGGTGGTTGTTGCCCCTACCCCTAATACCAAAGGACGGTGTACCCCCCGGGGTGAAGCTTTTTACCAAAATACTACCCAGGAGGAGACCCCCCGGGGCGGTGCTGTTACCAACACCCTACCACAGGACGGTAGTACCTCCGGGGGTGGTTGCTATTTACCAAAATCCTACCACGGGACGGAAACCCTTCCAGGGTGGTACGCTCCCAAACCCTACTACCACAGGACGGTAATCCCCCCTGGGGGGTTGCTCTCTACCAACATCCACCACAGGACGGTAGTCCCTCCCTGGGGGTAGCTGTCTCCCCCAAATCCTACCCAGGACGGTAGTACCTGCAGGGGTGGTATTGTCTACTAACCTACTACCACGGGACGGTGTACCTCCCTGGGGGGTTTTGCTCACTACCACCATTTACCACGGACGGTAGTACCCCCCTGGGTGGTTGCTGTCTACCAACATCCTACCACAGGACGGTAGTACCTCCCTGGGTGGTAGCTATCTACCAATTATACCACAGGACGGTATCCCTTCCCGGGTGGTTGCTGGTCTTCCAACCTACTACCGGGACGGTAGTACCCCCCGGAGTGGTTGCTCTCTCCCCAACATCCTACCACAGGACGGCAGTACCTCCCTGGGTGGTTGCTCTCTTCCAAAATCCCCCCACAGGACGGTAGTAACCCCCTTGGTGGTTGCTGTCTACAAACACCTACCACAGAAGGGTATACCTCCCTGGGTGGTTGAAATTACCAACATCCACAACAGGGGTGGTACCCCCTGGGGGGTTTTGCTTTTAAAAAAACCCTACTC